CTTGGTGCACAGTGGATGTAGTGTATTAATGTGTGAAACTCACCCACCAATGACTCTCTGACCTGCAATGGTGCAAAGGTTTTGTGCTGGCCCCTCTACGCAGGAGGGACTATCACCCAGGGCAGGCTGGTCCTCAGCTACACCAACAGCCTTGCCACTAGCAGTACCGCCAGCTGCAGGAGATCAGACGTAATGATTCACATCAGCCTCGACACGAGAAGTTTTAAAGGCTCTATTGCATGTCTTGGCCTGGCTTTTGATGTCTGAACTCCCCTGCCTCTGCCTGGGGGAGGGGGTTACAGTTACTGTTTCCACTCCCCAAAATGCAGTGGATAAGTCATTTTGGCCCATGCTGCAGGAGCTCTCACCCCCCTCCTCCTCCTCTCCCGCCCAGCAATTAATTCTGCCCAGCCCATCAGTTGAGCTCCCCACATCCTCCCTTAGATCAGCCCTGCTTAGTTCAGCCCCCCAACCCCCTGCCTAACCCGTTCCTCCTGAGGCTCTCCACCCTCTCCAAGGCCTGGGGGCTGAGCAGGGTCCCTCTACTGCTTCCCGGCTGGGGGCAGTGCCAAGGGCTCCTCACACACACCCCTTCCCAGGCTGGGTGCTGCAGGCTGAAAGGGGAGGGGCAAGGAGCAGAATCATCTTGCTCACAGGAGCAGAGGAGAGGAGGGGACAGGCAGAGCTGGCCTGGGTTGCTGGGTTCTTCAGCTCCCTCCTGCGCTCCTGTGGGTTTGGCTTTGGGGTGCTACAGGGAGCAGGAGGCAGGGGGGGAGTCATTTCTGCCTGCTGCAGCCCTATTTGGTTAGTCAGGCAGACAAGGGGGGCAGGTGGCTAATCAGAGGACTCTAATTCAGAAGACAACTGGCATGTCTCACGTCATGGCACGACTGGCCCCAGCCACGTCTCAGCCTTGCTAAAGAAATCTCAGAAGTGGGCAACACTCAAGTAACTTGAGTCACGTTGCGGCCCTGCTGCAAGGTGGGACACTGCCAGCTGCCTCCAGGGGAGCTGGAGATGCTGAGCATCCTCCACAGAGCAGCCGCAGAGATCCCAGAAACAGCCGGAGTGAGCAGGTGCTAGTTTGAGCTTGGTTTGAAAAGCAGAATGGCCGCCTGAGCCTTCTCCACAGCTAGAGCCCTGGAGCTCAGATGCAGCAGAGCCGGGCTTCAGACAATGCTAGTCACCAGCGGAGATTTCCATCTCTTTGGTCTACATTTGTGTAGCACCTAACACGATGGGGCCCTGGTCTGTGACGGGCTCCCTGGGCACTATCACAGCACAAATACATTCACACACATGCCCAGTTACACTGATCTCATCCATTCATGCTGCCCGCATGTGACTGTTCACTGGAATACTTAGCAATAGCCCAGGAGTGAGAGGCAGCCTGACTTAGCAGCTAGAGCAGCCTAAGCCAGTGAGTGGGCCACATGCGTGGACCTCCCTCATCTCAGTGGCCACAAGATTGTTGTCACCAAGACAGTGTCCGGGACAGGGTAGTCTTGCTAACTGTGCTTGTGTAACCCACACACATGCGCTACAGCTACACTACAAGCTTTTTCTGGAAGAGGACATGCAAATGGAGCGCTCGTTTGCATACGTCACGCTCTCATTTGCATTCTCTTCTGATCCTTTTTGCGGAAGAGGTTTTTGCACAAAAAAGTGCAGTGTAGACGGTGCCTTTTTGTGCAAAAACCCCCTTTTGCATAAGAGCCCTCTTCCTCATTTTTTGAGGAATAAGGGTTCTTGCACAAAAGGGTTTTTTTGTGCAAAATGGCCCCAGCTACACTGTGGTTTTTTCCTGCAAAAACTTCTTCCGCAAAAAGGATCAGGAGAGAATATGCAAATGAGAGTGAGAAAGAAATGCTAATGAGCGCTTCATTTGCATTTCCTCTTCCGCAAAAATGATGCCATGTACACGGAACCTAGGTATGTGGATTACACGTACGTATCTAGAATTTGCAGGGTTTGCCAACTGAACCGTAGCAGCGCTTGGATAGGCTGCAGAGGGAGCATGGGGCTCTCACAATGTGCAGTCAGCATGCACCTCACTTCACATGCCCTTTGTGCTTTTCGTGTGAGGGAAAAAAACCCTATGTGGACAGAAACCAGCGGAATCTGGCAGCTTTGCGCATGGGCAACGGTGAACCAAATGTTTCATGGGCCACACACAGAACTCTGATGGGTTGCAGGTTGCCTACCACAGAGCTAGAGGTAGCCTGGGCTAGGTTTCAGTAGACCTGGCTTCTATGCCTGGCTTTTTCACTGACCAGCTGTGTGAGTCTGAACAAGTCCCTTTCCCTCCCTGTGCTTCTTGTTTTCCCTCTCAACCTGTATCTGTTTAATTATAAGCCCTGTGGGTAGGTGCTGTCTCTTTAGGGCAGTGGTCCCCAACCTTTTGGGGCTGCCGGGTGCCATGGGGCAGGGCTGCTCATGTGCCATGCGGGTGGGGAGGGGCTGCGCATGCACCGCGCACAGAACCGGATTAAGGGGGGGGCTAACCAGGCAGCTGCCTGGAGACTATGGGTGGCGCCTGGGGCCAGGGGCCGCACAGCGCCCCTTAGAGCTGCCATTGGGCGCCGCACACCCGATTGCAGCTGTAAGGTGTGCAGTGCACCAGGGGGCAGGGCCACGCATGTGCCATGCACCCAGGGGCGGAGTCGTGCATGCGTCACACGCCCGCTGCCCGGGGCGCAGAATGGCTTGGGCCGGCCCTGGTCACTCGGCGGGCGCACATAAATGCCCCAGCGGGTGCCATGGTGCCCACGGGCACTGCGTTGGGGACCACTGCTTTAGGATGTGTCTGTGCAACTAGCACAACAGGGTTCTGATCTCAGTTGGGGCTCATAGAAGTTGCTGTGATACAAGAAATATTACGTGGAGAGGGATGCCGTCCAATTTTCAAAAATAAGATTAAGTTAAAATAAAATTAGGGTTTTTTTTTTACATTGAAGATTATAGAATTAGATAAAATAAAACTAGATTAGATAACAATGAGAGTTTAGCTAGAGTCATTATTATTTAACTTAGATACACTAAATCAGACTAGAAAAATGATGGAGAGACAAGGCGGGTGAGGTAATATCTATTATTGGACCAAGTGAAAGAGACAAACTTTCAAGCTTCACAGAGCTCTTTTTCACCTGAAAGACTGGAAGCTTGTCTCTTTCACCAGCAGCTGGTGGTTCAATAAAAAATTGAACCAACATGTCACTCATCACCTACCTTGTCATTCATGTCCTGAGACCAACATGGCTTATGGCTACAACACTGCAAGCAAAACAGAAAAATATTTAAGTCATTTTTTATATTGGAGGTCTGTTTCTCTGTAATTCTATTCCTGGAAGTGTGTGAAATAGAAAGAGTCAACAACTTTTCTTCTTCCCAACTAGTGTTCCCTCTAAGCTGACCACTTGGGCAGCCAACCAGGAGAGATTCAAATGCCACCTAGCTGTTTAGCAGAGTGCTCACAGCCAGCAACATGCATGTCTACTGGTGGTGCACATCTTGAACATGCTTTGGTACGCATAACAAAATGTATTCTACACATGGGTTGGAAAAAATAGAGGGAACACTGCTCCCAACCAAAAATTGCTTTTTGGACAAAAGACAGATTTTCTCATTTCTGATTTAATCAAAATTGTCCTGTCTCCCAACCTATAACAACAAAACAAAATGAGAATAGACTAGTTTTCATTAAAATATTAGTTTTCTACAAATGAAAATTTTGTAAGGAAGACCCAAAACACACGGTCTAATATTTTAATTGTGGAAAGAAAACCTAACTTTCCTCAAACTTTTGCAGGGGGAAAGGGATTTTTTTTTAATTTCTGGTGAAAAATTAGTATTTTTCAGTCAGCCCTGGTGCACTACAAATGCTGACACCCTGTACCCGTCTGTTCCTGCCAGCCCCTCCGCTTGTGTCTTTCAGTGCTCACCCTGCCTGGGAGAGGCCTCTCTGTTGTGGAGCGTGTTCCCAGTGGAGGCCATGTTCAAAGGATCCCACCTGCAAGCCATGTGTTGAGCCCCACGTAAACCTGAACCACACTGTGGGTTGCAAACGAACGGGTTGCGGGCTGCATGTTGAATAGCCCTGCTCTAAGGTGTCACAGGACTACTTGTTCTTAAAGACACTCTGCCTTAGAACACAGGTGGATGATCCCAACTCCCCAGGCCTATAAGGAGACAGACCTCTCTGTCACACACATTGAAAAAATAAATCAATGCATTCAAAATCATTAGTCACTTTGAAAACTTTTGGACTGTGTCCTGACATTGTGATAGTTCTAGATACTAGTGATCAGGGAAACAGGCATCTTCTCCTATCAGTGTAGCAGGAGAGCTTGATTTGCTATGGTACAAATTCTACTACTGTCCAGCGTTCTGGGGGCTCCTTCTGTTTGTAATAAGCCAACAGATCATCTAGCTTTCTGGGGGCTCCTTCTGTTTGTAATAAGCCAAAAGATCATCTAGCTTAGGGTTTCCCAACCTATGGGTCGGGACCCAAATATGGGTCACCATTACATTTCAAAAGGGTCCCCAAGTGTCTCCCCAGGTGGCTCTTCCCTCCCGCCTCTCCCCATTTTTGAACTGCCTTGGGTCACCAAGTCTTCCTGAATTGTCAGAATGGGTCCCCATCTGGAAAAGGTTGGGAACCACTGCTCTAGCTCATGGGATGTGAAGCTGCCGGCACAAGGACAGAGGTTGTTGCATGAGACGGCAGCACTGATAGGTTAGGGTAGATTCTGCTCTCTGTGGAGCTCCACTACATTAAGCCCTTGTAAAAGTTTGTTTGAAGTAAAAATTGAATCTGTCCCTTTAATCAGAGATAAAACAGCTATACATGAGGGGCCCTGTAGGGCTAAGGACCCAACTCTGCATCACTGAACTAAATAGGGGTTGTGATATTATCTTGAGTGAAAACAAGTAATCTAAATGTGACTATTTGAGAGTTGCCTAGCAGTAACTAGGAGAGTAACTACTTTTCATTGACACAGATGGCCTTCTTAGATGTGACATCTTAGATGTGTCAGTGCCCCCCTGCCATGGCAACATCATGGGACTGGAGAATGGACAGGAAGTTTCAAAGAAACAATCTCAATAACAAGGTGAGTAGCCTCCTGTGATCTCCTTAGCCACTCCAAGCAATGGGCTTCAGGGTCCTGAAGACGCTGTCTTTCCATTGGCTCCCTCTTCTGATCATTGGTATGGTGGCAGTGTGCAGAGCACTGCCTAGACCCTGACTGAGATCAGGCCCCCTATCATGCTGCACAGACACAAAGAGAGGGTCTCTGCTCCAAAGAGCTCATTATTTAAATAGACAATGGCGAGACATGAACCAGGCACAGGAAGGGGAAATGGCTAGACCAAGATTAGTGGCAGAGTCAGGAATTGAGCCCAGGTGTCCAGAGCCCCTGCCCAGTGCCCTAACTATTAAACAAAACTGCTCTTCTGCACAGGATGTGACTTACTTGAGGTCACAGAGAAATCAAGCCAGGAATGAATCCAGTTCTCCTACCCCAGTGCCCTTGCTACCCAGCACTTGAGGGACATTTTCATTGCAAGTTGAACCAAAATTGAAAGCTTTCAACATTTTTTGCAGATCAAACTTTTTTTTTTTTAAAATGTGACACCTTAAAGACGAGCAAATTTATTAGGGCATAAGCTTTTCTGGGCTGCAACCCACTTCGTCAGAGCTATAGCCCAGAAAAGCTTATTCTCTAGTAAAAACGCTACTCTTTAAGATGTCATAGGACTTCTCGTTGTTTTGCTAAAACAGACTAACTTCTTCTCGTTGTTTTTGCTAAAACAGACTAACTCGGTTACCCATCTGACACTTAAAAAAAGCTTTGGGTCCAACAATATTCTGTTTCAATTTGAATCTTTTATAACATTTTTGAATGTTTTTAAATAATTGAATGAAATTTCTACATAAACATTGTTTCAAACCAAAAAACCGAAACATTTCATTTAGAAAATGTCAGAAGGAAACATTCTGACTGGGGAGGAGATGCTGAGGATTTTATTAAATGGACAATTCAGCAAAACCAACGTGAATTCACAAAACATCTCAGCATAGCTGAATCTGCATTTTTCAAGGAAAAAACATTTTGTCCGAAAAATGTCACTCTGCTCTAAATCCAACCTCTCTCCCAGCTCAGCTAAGTCTCTTTCCTCATTCCAGGCGGTGTCCTCAGACTGAAGACCCCAGCTCACCTTTCCTCTCTCAGCCAAAGAGGTTTTGAATTGGAGCGGTGGGAACCAAATGTGGTTGTCATTTCAGTATGCTATTCTGGGAGAGGTGAGACCCCACCCCAGCACCATGAACCTTTCTGGTGTCCCACCAGCCCTCAATGGCTCCCAGGGAAGCCCCGGGCATGCCCTGCATGGAGGCTATTCTTTGTGGCAGGTGGTGTTGATTGTGCTGATGACTGGGATCCTATCACTGGTCACACTGGTGGGCAACCTGCTTGTGATGGTCTCCTTCAAAGTCAACAGTGAATTAAAGACCGTCAACAACTACTTCCTACTCAGCCTTGCCTGTGCTGACCTCATCATTGGAGCAGTGTCCATGAACCTCTACACCACCTACATCATCATGGGCCACTGGGCCCTTGGCAACGTAGCCTGTGACCTCTGGCTGGCCCTTGACTATGTAGCTAGCAATGCTTCAGTCATGAACCTCCTGATCATCAGCTTTGACCGCTATTTCTCTGTCACACGGCCCTTGACTTACCGGGCTAAGAGGACACCAAAGAGGGCAGCCATTATGATTGGCCTAGCTTGGGCTATTTCCTTCATCCTTTGGGCACCTGCCATCTTGTTCTGGCAGTACTTTGTTGGGGAGAGGACAGTGCCCTCAGGAGCCTGTTATCTTCAGTTCCTCTCTCAGCCCATCATTACTTCTGGCACGGCCATTGCAGCTTTCTACCTGCCAGTCACCATCATGATCATTCTCTACTGGAGGATCTACCGGGAGACTGAAAACAGGACCAAGGAACTAGCTTGCCTACAGGGCTCAGAGAGCAAGAGTATTGCCAGGCCGACCACCATCAACAGGCCCAAAGGAGGTGGCGGATGCAGCATCAGCAGCTCCGAGAGGTTGCAACCCATCAAGGTTTCTTCTGCTGTGACAACAGCCCCCACACAGGCCTGCTGCTTCCCCAGTTGGAGGAAGGCCAAGCTATATATGGAGCAGAACAGCAATGGAAGCTGGAACAATACAGAGGAGGAGGAAGAGGAGGACGGCTCCCCTGATTCCTTGACATCGTCAGAAGGTGAGGAGCAGCCCTTTGAGGTTCAGAGTGTCTGCTCAGTGGTGATCCAACTGCCTATGATTGGCAGTGTAGCGCAGTCCCCACTGCCGACCATCAAACCCACCCGGGACCAGGGGAAGCTGACTGGAGGACCGTGGGTAGGAAGGAATGGCTTGTGCAAGATCCTAGCTCAGCCTCGTACTGCCACCGAATCCCCCAACACTACCAAGAAACCATCAAAGAAGCCAACGAAAGAGAAGAGGGTGCTGACTGCCAAAAGCCATTTGCTGAAGAGGAGCAAACAGCTCTCCGAACGGAAGACCCTCTCCCTGATCAAGGAGAAGAAAGCAGCCCGGACACTGAGTGCTATCCTGCTGGCTTTCATTCTCACCTGGACACCTTACAACATCATGGTGCTGGTGTCCACCTTCTGCCAGGACTGCATTCCCAAGAGCCTCTGGGAGCTGGGCTACTGGCTTTGCTACGTCAACAGCACAGTCAACCCCATGTGCTATGCCCTGTGCAGTAAGTCTTTTCGTGATACCTTTAAGATGCTGCTGCTGTGCCGCTGGGACAAGAGGAGGTGGAGGAAGATGCCCAAGCAAGTGGTGGCCTTCCATAGGGCTCCAGCCCAGTGAGCAGATGTGGGGCAAATCCCAGAATGGTGAGCCAGACACAGCTGGTCGTGGGAGCCCATTGCGGGGGGGAGGGGATTAGCTTCTCAGGTGGGCAGTGGAGGGTGAATCATACCAGGAAGTGTTGGGTGTGTGTGGCAGAGGTCCCCACATTGTAGGGCATGCCCCCCTAGAGGGACATGGAGAATGATTGAAGGGGACAGCTCCTACAGGAGATGGGGAGGAAGCACCACCCAGCCCTGCTCCATTCCCAGCTCTGCTCTGGCCCAGCCCCTAGCTGCAACCCTGGCTCTTGAGCCCCAAGCCACCCACAGTCACAGGCCCTGACCACAGACTGGCTGTGGCTCTAGTCCCACTCCCAGTCCCACTCCCAGTCCTGCACCCAGCTGAGGACCCACCCTCTGTTCTCAACCCTGTCCACACCCTCCTGAAGCCCGGCTCCTGGCCCCAGGAAGAGGGAGGGGGCTGAACAGGAGTAAGGGACGATATAACCTTGAAAAGTTTGGAGATCCCTGCAGTAGAGTATCCCCCATGTCATCAGTTGTGCTGAACTGGTAAAGAGCACGGAGGGGGCAATTTTGCTGCAGCAGACATGCATGCACCTTGCTGGAGACTTGATCCACCTGTAACTGCCTACATGGGGAACAGTAATTTGATAATAGAGGCTCTTTAGTCTAACAGCTACAAGTAATTAGGCTCTTTACTAAAAAATTTGCCATATAGTGGAAGATTCAGGGAGCTTGGGCTATTTAGTTTATCCAAGAGAAGGCTGAGGGCTCTGTAAGTATTTATAAAGAGAACAGCAGCTCTGTGTAAGCCTGAAAGCGTCTCTCTCTCTCCCCAGCAGACGCTGGGTCAATAAAAGCTATTAACTCAACACTCTTATCGCTGTACATGGGGAAAAGAAATTTAATAATGGAGTGCTCATTAAACTAGCCAAAAATCTAACAAGAACTAATGACTGGCAGCCAAATCTGTACAATTCAGACCAAAAATAAGGTGCCTTTTCTTAACTGTGAGGGGAACGGACTACTGGAACAATTTACCAAAGGCTGTGGTGGATTTTCCTTTATTAGCAATTTTTAAATCCAGATTGGTTGTTTTTCTTTAAAAAAAACATTTTAGTTCCAATGGGAATTATTATTCCGGGAAGCCCTATAGCCTGTGTTTGACAGATGGTCAAATAAGATGATCACAGTTGTCCCCTCCAGCCTCATAATCTGTAAGAGTGGGGACGCTGCAGCCCCCTGGTGAAGAATAAATTGGCTTGGTGGAGGAAGCATAGATGGTGGGTGGAACAAAAGAGATCCTGGGCACTGCCAGGGCCACCGTTGGGGGAGGGGGAAAAGGGGCAGTTGGCCCTGGGGCCTGGCAATTCAAAAGGAGCCAAGGTTCCCTTAAATCACCATTGGAGCTCTACATGGTGCGCTCCAGGCAGCTCTGAGGAATAGCTGCTCCTAGTCCTGCTCCCCCTGGTGCCCAAGGCCCTTCCCCTTCCAGGAACGTGGAGTCAGCCTCCTCCCACCATGCCTAAGGGCCCAGCAATTGTCAACCTCCTTTGGCGCCACTGAGTGGATTTTGACCCTGGGAACACATGTGAAAACAATTAATACACCAGCGCTAATCCTGTCTCAAAGGGCTCTATGCCAGCTCCAGAAAGGGGAGCTGGAGGGTTAGAGCAGGAAGAAATTGGGAGTCAAAGGTCTGTGGGTTCTAGTGCCAGCTCTGAGGAGACCACAGGGCTTAGTGGTTACAACAGTGGGTATAGGGGGTTGGGACTCTTGATTTTTATTCCCAGCTCAGGGGGCCTGTGTTGCTGCTGGTGGCCAAGGTGCCAGCAGCTCTTACCAAGATATAACAAGCAGCTGTCTCAATTTGCTGTTCCTTGCCTTTTTCCCCTAGATGAAATCCCTGGGCTGGGATGAAGAATGTCCGGCAAACTGCACTGCAGCAGCAGAACGGGCCCTGGCTGTGATGCCAGAAGGGGAATCCCTCCGAGACGGCCATGAACCCAGCCTTTGGGATCTGGGTGAGGATACAGCTGGCAGGTTCCGGAACACCGTGCCGCCATTTATCATTGTAATCTTGAACTCATTGTCAGATAGCGACCTTCCTTAAAACACCGATGAATGTGGACGTATCAACAGGAAAACAAATAGATGAAGCTGGCACATTTAGCGCTGTGGGCTTGAGAGAAATGGATTGAAAAAAAATGGTTTAAAATCTAAGCCAAAGGGGCCATAGAAACCAGCCATTCAAGGTTGTGACAGGACCTCTTGGGATTTTCAACACTTTCCAGTATTGCTGCTTTGACTAAAAGGACATTGGACCTTTCAGCCATTCAGTCACATAGACAAGTGTGGTCTAGGCACCCTACCACTTAGGCCAGGAAAATGGGAGTCAGGAGTCCCGGACTTCAGTATTTGGCTCTTCACAAGGAGTGAATCCAGTGGTTAGAGCAGACACAGCTGGGAGGGGAGAGGGTGTCAAGTGATTAAAGAAAGGACTGGGAGGACTCCTGCATTGGAGCCCCAATTCTGGGAGCACAGTGGTGTCTGGTGATTAGAGCAGAGAATGGTAGACAGGACAACCAAATCCTTCTGTTTCCCAGCGCAGAGTCCGAAACTAAGTACCAGAGGCGTAATGGGTTGGAGTAGGGGGGCACTGGGAGCCAGGACTCCTGGATTCTGTTTGCAATTCTGGGGTGGGAGTGGTGTCAAGTATAAAAGCAGGGGCATCAGGTCTCTGGAGTTCCATTCTCAGAGCTTGTCACCTTGGGCAAGCATGGGAGGTGAAGCTTCATTGGTTGAGTTTTGGGAAACACTTTGTAATCTGGGGCTAGCGAGGCACAGATAACACTGGACTGAGAGAGGTGAAAAGCGGAGGTAACGTGGGGAAAGATGACCTCTGGAGGGGGAAAGACGAGAAGCACAACTGCACCTCTCTCCTTCCAAGGGTTCTAGAATGTTCCATTCAACCACACGGACACAGGATACTACCACTAACCCACGCTGCCTGTCTCCAACTCAAGAGGATTGGTGTAGAGAAATTCTTCCCCGGTCTCTGCTGGAGCAGTATACAGGGGCATGGACGAGCAGCTGAGGTAGTTATGTTAGCCCCATTACCATAGTATCTGGGCACCTTACAATATTTTAATATATTTCTCTTCACCCCACTCCTGTGCGAGAGGGAAGCATTATTCCATTTTACAAAGGAGTAACTGAGGCAGTGAACGACTCAAAGATATCTAGGCACTGAAATAGATGCATTAGGCACGTAAAAAGCTTTGAGGACCTCGGCCCTCAGCGACTTACTCCCAGTCACACAACAAAGTGGAGGATTGAATGTAGGTCCCCCAGGGCTCAGGCTGCCATGCAAACTCCTACACCAGCCACCTGTGGCGCCTCCTTGCCCCATCCACACACGTCTTTTGCCACGAAGCCTTCAAGCAGCAGTGTAGCTCCAACACTTTTATGCCTGATGTGGATGGATATATTTGAGCTATCCAGGCTGGTCCCTCCCTCAGAGATCTTTTGATCCATTCTCCCCCCTGGGAGTGACAAGCAAGAAGAGATGGGGAAAGGAAGAGTGAATTATTCTGCAAGAAAATAAGCGTTCTCCACCTTTTAACTCCCACCAATGCACCTGGGAGCTAAGTGCATGCAGGCAACTGAGAAATGGTCTAAGTGCAATTTCCTGAAGCTGTCCCAGAAGGAAGTCCGGGGGCAGTCCTCCAAATCATTCCCTCTGAACCATGATTCCAACCCTCCTTTAGGTGAATCCAGAAAGCTTAATTATGAATAAACCATTGACTCAAACATGTCTATGAGTTACAAACCCAGCATTGCAAACCCCAAGCATGCCAAAACCACAACCCAGGCTCTAAAAATCACAAGATTAAAAAAATTCGTGATTTTAAGATTAATATTAAACTGGGCAGGAGGGACTGAAGGAAGGATTCATATTCTCCTTCTGATTTGAGCCGCTAGAGGTCACGTTTTCAAGCTTTTCACCACAAACCTTTTTTAAATATACGTAAGCCAAGCCTCACGTAATCATGACTTCAGAGGCTGTGAGGAAGGAAAACTCCAGTTAGCGTCAAAATGAGCAAAGCTGCAAAACCCTGATCACACAGGACTGTACATACTGACATTTCCTCATGCAGGGGCCCATTGGCCTGGAGTTTGTCACTGTTCTTTGTATTTATTTGGTTGAACAAAATAAAAAGGAAAACAAACTTGTTTTACAAGAGTGGGTTTTGCTTCAAGATATGGTTGCCACTGCAAGAGGCCCAGACTAAAAATCAAGTCTCCATCCTGCTAGAGCAGTGCTCCTATCATACCAACCAGTGTACAGACCTCCTCTGGTACTGGGGCCCACCCCAGTTATGCTGGGTACCATAACACTGTGCCTGCAGTGAAGAGTTTACAGCCTGAACGAAGGGAGGATTCAATTTGCAACTGAGGAAAGCAAGAGACAGAGATTTAGGGCTCATGTAGATTACGCTAGAGTGTCGAAAGAGGATATGCAAATTCCATGGGTATTTGCATATCTTCTTCCAATCTCACTTTTGAAAGTGAGATCAGAAGATATGCAAATCCCAGCAGAATTTGCATATCCTCTTTCAACACTCTAGCGTAGTCTACATGAGCCCACCAGTTCAAGTTTGTGGTAGATTTGGGAACCGAACCTAAATCGACTGATTCCAGTCCCAGGCATTATCGCATGTCAGAAAGAAACTTTGGCAAAGAAGTTTATCAATCTCTATAATGTAATATTTGCACTAAGGACCATAAAAATCCCATAAGCCCCTTAGAAAGCATTTCATGCAATTTTCAGCAAGGAATCTTCTCTCCCAACCATCCCCTGTTCTACACAATTTAGGCACTAAGAAAATCTTCAGTTCTTTAATCTTATGTTGTTGCTTTTCTCTGAATCCCCTGTAACATAGTTCCACTGTTCTGGTAGATGACTAGAATTCATCCCATTACAGCATGCTGCCATCATTTCATTTGAGCCCTAATTTAAAGTAGCGAATGGTCATTTAAAAACATGAAGGCTGTATTGTGATCTTCCTGGGAGCTGGGTAAAAGCAGGCTAACTCCCATGCGTTAAATGGAACTTCACTTCAGATTTACACCAGCATTCGTAGGATAAGATTGTGACCATCTGACACCAGCCAGTTATGTACACCATTATTACAGAGAAACCACATTAAAAAAAGAGGCAGGATGTTTCTCTGTGGGGAAAGAATGGGCTGTGTGTCACTACATTAGGTCTGAAGCAAGGTGGAGAAGGAAACTTTTCCATGAACTGTTTCATTGAACATTTAAATAATATTTCCCAAAACCATGGCATTTTTATTTTTTTAAAAAGTAGTCCCAGAGACAATTAATAGCCCAGTGATTAGTGGAGATGGGAGAGGGGACCCAGATTCAGTCCCTACTCTGCCTCAGGCAGGGCTATTGATTATTCTGAGCTGTCTCACATTTCCATGCTACTTATGCCGAGTCCCAGTACCGCACCACTAGGCCATGCTGCCATCCAGACCATAATCAGAGAACATTTTAGTGGGAGGTGTTGGGTCTATGAAGTGCTGCAATGAACGATTTATTTTGAATTAAGCCTGGCACTAAAAAAAAAAATTTAGAGGACAAGAATGTGTGGGGGGAGGTAAGGTGGAGAGGAAGAGAATAAACAGAGCCCTGTAAATCTGCAGATATCCATTTGTTGCTGTGGGTATAGCTCAAGCACATTTTTGTCAATACAAATTTTTTATCTATAATCCTGCAAATCTGCGGATATCCGCAGGTATCTACATCCACAGATGTGGATATCTGCAAATCATTTGTGCAACTATGGATACCAATTTTGCATCTGCGCAAGGCTCTAAGAATAAGTTAATAAAATCCACTTCCCCCCACACGGAACTGAGTCACACTGAAGTCATAGCTTCTTCAGTCTGTTAGACATAACACCTGACCCTGTCTTACCTATAGCTACTGATTTTCCCCGTTAAGATACAAGGATGCAAATCTCTGGAAACAGCATTGCAAGCAAAGGTCACATTACAGGCAGTCCCTGGGTTACGTACAAGATAGGGACTGTAGGTTTGTTCTTAAGTTGAATCTGTATGTAAGTCGGAACTGGCGGCCAGATTCAGCCGCTGCTGAAACTGACCGCCAGTTCTGACTTACATACAGATTCAACTTAAGGTCCCCAAGTCAGCCGCTGCCGGAACTGATCAGTGGCTGATTCCAGGAAGCCTGGGGCAGAGCAACTCTGCC